GGAGATGAGTGGTACCCGGTGGAGTCTTCTGCTGTTGTAGCCCATCCGCCTCAAGGTTGTGCGTGTTGTGGCTTCACAAATGCTTTGCTGCATACCTCGGTTGTAACGAGTGGTTATTTCAGTCACTGTTGCCCTTCTATCAGCTCGAACCAGTCTGGCCATTCTCCTCTGACCTCTGGCAACAACAAGGCATTTCCGCCCACAGAACTGCCGCTCACTGGATGTTTTTTCTTTTTCGGACCATTCTCTGTAAACCCTAGAGATGGTTGTGCGTGAAAATCCCAGTAGATTAGCAGTTTCTGAAATACTCAGACCAGCCCTTCTGGCACCAACAATCATGCCACGTTCAAAGTCACTCAAATCACCTTTCTTCCCCATACTGATGCTCGGTTTGAACTGCAGGAGATTGTCTTGACCATGTCTACATGCCTAAATGCACGTAGTTGCCGCCATGTGATTGGCTGCTTAGAAATTAAGTGTTAACGAGCAGTTGGACAGGTGTACCTAATAAAGTGGCCGGTGAGTGTATGGTTAAACCACTCTGTGAGCGTGCCATTTCTGTTGCTTCCGGTTTTGCATGGCTTATACAGTAGCAGTCTACTACAGCATGGCTTGCAGCTTCAACGCTGCTGTTTTGCTTTAATTCTGCATTGCTTTAATTTGTTTTGTTTCGGTTTTTCTTGCATTTACTGGCTTTGTGTTGCATTCTATAATCTTTGCATTTCATAACTTGTGTTGCATTTAATATTTGTTTAAATTTATTAGTTTTGTTTTGATTTGTCTTCATTTGTTTTGCTTTCACTAGTTTTGTTTTGCCTTCATTTGTTTTGCATTTATTAGTTTTGTTTTGCATTTAATAGTTTTGCTTTGCATTCAAAAAATCTGTCTAGCATTGCTGACCTTGTTTTGTTGTGACAAGTCTGTTTGTTACCTGTGGTTTTGTTGCAGTTGGAAGAAAAGTGTTTCTGCTTTTGTATTGGTTTGTTTATTTTGTTTTATGTTGAATGTTGTAAACTCAGCAAAAAAAGAAACGTCCTCTGACTTTCAACTGTTTTTACTTTCAGTAAACTTAATGTGTGTAAATATTTGTATGAACACTAAAAGAGTCAACACCATAAGACATAAACTAAAAATGTTTCACAGACATGTGACTAACAGAAATAGAATAATGTGTCACTGAAAGAAGGGAGGCTCAAAATCAAAAGTACCAGTCAGTATCTGGTGTGACCACCAGCTGCTTGAAGTACTGCAGTGTATCTCCTCCTCATGGACTGGACCAGATTTGTCAGTTCTTGCTGTGAGATGTTACCCCACTCTTCCACCAAGGCACTTGCAAGTTCCTGGACATTTTTGGGGGGAATGGCCCTAGCCCTCACCCTGCGATCCAACAGGTCCCAGACGTGCTCAATGGGATTGAGATCCGGGCTCTTCGCTGGCCATGACAGAACACTGACATTGCGGTCATGCAGAAACTCACGCACAGAACGAACAGTATGGCTGGTGGCATTGTCCTGCTGGAGGATCATGTCCGGATGAGCATGCATAAAGGGTACCACATGAGGGAGGAGGATGTCTTCCCTGTACCGCAATGCATTGAGATTGCCTGCAATGACAACAAGCTCAGTCCGATGGTTATATGATATACCGCCCCAGACCATGACGGACCCCCCACCTCCAAATCGATCCCGCTACAGGGTACAGGCCTCGGTGTAACGCTCATTCCTTCGACGATAAACACGAATCCGTCCATCACCCCTGGTGAGACAAAACCGTGACTCATCAGTGAAGAGCACTTTTTGCCACTCCTGTCTGGTCCAGCGAAGGTGGGTTTGTGCCCATAGGCGGCGTTGTTGCTGGTGATGTCTGGTAAGGACCTGCCTTACAACAGGCCTACAAGCCCTCCAGCCTCTCTCAGCCTATTGCGGACAGTCTGAGCACTGATGGAGGGATTGTGTGTTTCTGGTGTGACTCAGGCAGTTGTTGTGGCCATCCTGTACCTGTCACGCAGGTGTGATATTCGGATGTACCGATCCTGTGCAGGTGTTGTTACACGCGGTCTTCCACTGCGAGGACGATCAGCTGTCCTTCCTATCTCCCTGTAGCGCTGTCTTAGGCGTCTCACAGTGCGGACATGGCAATTTATTGCCCTGGCCACATCAGCAGTCCTCATGCCTCCCAGCAGCATGCCTAATACACGTTCACGCAGATGAGCAGGGACCCTGGGCATCTTTCTTTGGGTGTTTTTCACAGTCGGTAGACAAGTCTCTTTAGTGTCCTGCGTTTTTAGAACTGTGACCTTAAATGCCTACTCTCTGTAAGCTGTTAAGGTCTTAACGACCATTCCACAGGTGCATGTTAATTAATTGATTATGGTTAATTGAACATGCATGGAAAACATTGTTTAAACCCTTTACAATAAAGATCTGTAAAGTTATTTGGATTTTTACAACATTATTGTTGAAATACACAGTCCTGAAAAAGGGACGTTTCTTTTTTTGCTGAGTTTATTTCCCTAATCTTGCTTTTTCTCTTTCCTTTTTATTGGAGCTGGGGGCCTGGAGAAGGCAGGCTGGCTGTTCCTGTGTGGCAATAGCTCTCTTCTCACCAAAGTGGTGTGTATTTGCAGTGTATTTCTTTAGTGTGTAAGTGTGGTCTGGTGCACGTGTGGGTATCTATTATTACAGGCATTATTGAAGCCCGGCATCTAGCCTGCCTGCCTCCTTATTGGTAAGCCCCAGCTTTTTGTTTGTTTGTCTTTTTCTTTTGTGTTTGATAAACTTATTTCACAGTGCTAGTTGCTTGTTGTGGCTGATCCTTTTAACCGACATTTAACTGAGACATTTTAACGAATTGACTGTTTAATAAAGATTTATACCTTTTATTCCAATTATCCACGTCTCTGGGTCAACTTATGAAAAATCGAACCTGTGGGCCCTTGGGTCTTTCCCGGGTAGTTAATCCCGGGTGGCGTAGTCTTTCCCCTTTGGAATCAGTATAATAGAGTACAAAATTTCTTTAACCCTTTATAACACCTCCATTGCCACATAAGCAAAGTCAACAGTGATTACAATTGTTTTGTTTCATTTCTTTGACATGTTTGATGCCTAGCCTGTGCGTATATTCTTGGGCTATGGTTAGACATCTATTAAATTTTCATTGACAGGCCAAATCTCAAAAATTTTAGCCTAGATGTCAGGGCTGTGTTTGGACGGCCATTAGAGGATTCATGATTTTATTGTATTGAAAAGCACAGCACAAACAAATTTGTCCTTTTGGGTTCCACAAAAGAAAGACATTCACACGGGTTTGGAACAAGTTAGTAAACGATAGAACATGTGAGCGCTCCAGAGTGGCCATGATTTAGCCCCGGAGCAGAGTCGGCGTTCTCATTCGCTCCAAGATCGCTCTGATAGTGCTTCATTCATGAGCATAACATATGAACGATAAAGAGGAAAACCTGGAGTGGAGCTGGAACAGAGTGATTAGAGAGCACTTTGAGTGAGAGACGGAGAGAATTGCTGTTGCTCTGCTTGGCTCACATAATCTGGGAAATGATGACAGAATTTTCATTTCTGGGGAAACTAGCCCTTTAAGCTCAAGTGATGCTACTGATCTATTTCATGGGAATGTTTTTCTACAGTTCATTTTCTCAGCACAGATAAGCACTTCAAGCACAGATAAAGCTGCCTAACTTTCCATGAGTCTGTGTTATTATTATACACTGCAGTCTGATATTATTCTATCTCCAAAGTTCACTTGTGTGTTCATAAAGTGTCTCCAGATAGCAGCGAAGGGAGATAATGGACAAAAGAGATTATTAGATGCAATGGAAAAATGGTTAGATGGAAGTTAGATGGAAAACAAGCCAGGAGGAATAGAACGAGAATGAAAAAGTAAAGACACCGAGAAGGTGTGAGGCACATCAGAAGACCATTTGGCTTTGATTTAATGCTTCCTGAATGGCCTACCTTCAAAGAACCACTTTACCAAACACTTCCCCTCACTTTCCTTTATCTTGTTATTCCTCTTTCTCTCCTGCACTCATCTTCTTGTCCTTGCAATCATGTTTCAACCAAAACAACATCTCTTAAAAAAAAAAACACCTGCAAACAAACAAGTCACATCAAAACCAAGAAAGACAAGCTTTCAGCAAGGAAACCTTTTCAAGTATTTTAGACTGCTACTTCAGCATATCCCTTTCTTTCACATGCTGCCGTCTTCACTCTCTCCATATCTCCTCTCCAAGAGAAAAGAAGCATTTTCTTCAATTTTGCATTTTTTGTGGGTATATCTAAAGAAGACTTCAGAAACTTTCATTTGTACAGAAAACCCTAAAGGCACAGTTGATCAGATCATATCAGATGTGGCACATAGGCAAAGTGAATTTCTGCTCAAAATGTGATGATTTATTATGTAATATTTTCATGCTTTCAAGGTGAAGTGTATCTTTTGTCAGTGTTAAAACACTTTCTCCTATCCCAGTGTAATGTGCAGAGACAACTATAATGAAGCCATTTGTAGGTTGACTTCCTGAAGAGTGTGAACCATGTGGATGTTGGGTTAAGGATCATTGTGCTATTTTTTATGTATTAAGTTGTCAAAAGTTCAGTACCAAGTTAAAAATGTGACGATACCAGCATTTCCCTCTTGCATTTTGAGCACTGTTGAACGGATTCTTAAACACCTCTGATTGACCATTGTGTTGAAGCGCTCAACATATATATCTCTGATTGGCCATTGAGGTAATTGTTATTTAGTTTGTAATTGTGACTATTTCTCATCATTTTAATTCACTCCCAATTTTTTCTTTTATTTATTTATTTGGTGGAAACATTTAGTGGCACAGAAATCACTTACAATACTGTTACATTTTACGGTAACACTGTATAAGTATACAATAACAATAATTAGCAAATTCGTCTATAGATTATTCATACTTTATACATTTTAGTCTCATACATTAATAGGCTATTAACTAATATTGAGTTCTTCATTGGGTCTCATCCACTAAAGCATGCGCCCACAGCCTGCTCCGCCATGGCCACGTCCACAGCCCGTTCCTCCCCGGTTCCCCGAGCTACCAGCTCCGCCCTGGAGGCTTCCTGTTCCTGCACCACCATGCCCACGTCAGCCTCCAGGGCGCCCCCCCTCCCACCCCTTTGGATGTTATACGGCGCACGCGCCTTCGGGAAGGGGGAGGTTCTGTCACGTTTTCAATGTGTTTGAGTTCTGTTTTGTGATCTTGGTTTCCCCTGTCTTTGTGATTTTGGTTTAGTCCTGTTATTAGTTCAGTTTTGAGATCTTGTTTCCCCCGTCTTTTGTGATTTTTGGTTCAGTCCTGTTAGTTTTCCCGCTCTGTCTAATTAGCTATTCCCTTCACCTGTGTTCAGTTAATCTTCCCATTAGGCCCTGTTCATTTAAGCCCTGTGTTTTCCCTCAGTGTTTGTTGATCGTTGTCTATGTAGGGTTGTGTTTTTCCTGAGTTCCTGCATTTCTCTGTATCCTGAGTTTGTTATTAAACTAGCTGCATTGAAATTATGTTTCCTCATCTTCAGTTACCTGCACAACCCTGACACATACTCTATATGTGAAGAGTATGATTTTATTTTAATTATTCATTTATTTATTTATTTTTAATCATTTGTAAACAACTTATGTACATCAATTTAAACCAGTAGTAAATTATTTGTTAATAGTTATTCAGAGTAAATAGTTCTTCTAACTTTAGATTAGGTTACAAAAAATACTAAATTGCCAGTAATTAGATGCTTTAAACCTACCTTTATAAGACATTAATTGCAAAAATGTTTATCAAGCAAAACTCTGCATCAATTTACTTTATACATACCTAAACATTTCTTTATGGTTCTTTACTATTAATACATGTTCAATGTTTTTATGAACCATTAACAACTCCTTCACAACTGGTTTAAAATCAAATAGGTCAGTCCTCTAGGTTGATACTGACGCAGGTTGATAGGTGCTTTACATGCAATCTGTCATCAATCACATCATTACCACATAGCATAAGCTGATTGGCCTCTGCAGATCCTGTAGCCAATGAGATTGCTTGCTCAACATTTAAATAGTCTGGTTCATTGTTAGCTGTAAGCTTGTCCTGCAGTGCTCTGAAACCCTCCATCTCCCCCAGCTCCACCTGGCTAGATGTTACAGGATTTATGTATGTCCATTCATGCAGCAGCAACACATGCACAGAGAAATACACAGTGACGATGATTTTAGGTACAATATATAACAAAATGTATGTGGTTTGTGTTTTAATATGTAATATACAATATAATGTGGAGACTAAATTTTATAAATTGTTTTAATTCTAAAGTAAAAGTTTGAAGATGATTTGGAAGTACTTTATCACTGTATGCTTGTTACATAGTTTAAACTTTTGGTATCAAGGCACTGCTTTGTCACGTTTTTATTTGGAATGCAAAACTTGTATCTATAAATCGGATTTATTCTCTTTGCCCAAAAGTATTATTCTAAAGGTTCTATAAATATTCAATAGAGTACCCTGTTCCTTAGATATCACAAACTAACATAAAATAAATTTGAATACATTTGCATACTATTGTTATTCATTTAGCTTACTTAATGCTGATGACATAACCTACAGTATATGCATTTCATTTTTTTAGCAGTGTTAAAGGTCTGGGCTCACTGCATTGCGTGGAGGTGGTTTTCAGCTTTGGCATCAACAGGTCTTTCTCTTTCTCTCCCAAATGTGAAAAACATTGCAAACAGAGCATCTTCTTAAAGAGACATGCTTGTTGGTGACAGTTGCTATGGGCAATACCATCTCACATGTCATTTACAGTTACAATCTCTCCCACTGCATTGCTCTTTTGCCTGTTCTGCCACCTCGTACACTCCCCACCCCTTTCTCTCCTCCTCCTTATGTCCATTCACTCCCCTCTTCATGCACACACACTTTATTTGTTCCAACACTTTTCAGGGCAGTATGATCTGGTGTTCGAACCTAACAAGTGCTAGACGAGATTCTACAGGTGAAATACTGCATTCAGAAGAATTCATTCTGGCAAATTGGATGGTGTCTGATCATCTGGTGAAACTAGCTCTGCTCTGCTATTATGGTATGACTACTGTAAACAATTTATGATGACAAAAGAGACTTATGGGAATCTGAAATATGGCCATTTTGGGCACCGAAAGAACAGAGTTACTGAGTCAGCTACATAAAAATAATCAGAGGTGGGTAGAGTATCCAAAAAACTGTACTCAAGTAAAAGTACAAGTACTTATAGAAATATTTACTCAAAGTAAAAGTAAAAGTAATCATCTTAATCGGATCAAGCCTATATACACTCACCTAAAGGATTATTAGGAACACCATACTAATACTGTGTTTGACCCCCTTTTGCCTTCAGAACTGCCTTAATTCTACGTGGCATTGATTCAACAAGGTGCTGAAAGCATTCTTTAGAAATGTTGGTCCATATTGATAGGATAGCATCTTGCAGTTGATGGAGATTTGTGGGATGCACATCCAGGGCACGAAGCACCCGTTCCACCACATCCCAAAGATGCTCTATTGGGTTGAGATCTGGTGAATGTAGCTGCCATTTTAGTACAGTGAACTCATTGTCATGTTCAAGAAACCAATTTGAAATGATTCAAGCTTTGTGACTTGGTGCATTTTCCTGCTGGAAGTAGCCATCAGAGGATGGGTACATGGTGGCCATAAAGGGATAAACATGGTCAGAAACAATGCTCAGGTAGGCCGTGGCATTTAAACGATGCCCAAATGGCACTAAGGGGCCTAAAGTGTGCCAAGAAAACATCCCCTACACCATTACACCACCACCACCAGCCTGCACAGTGGTAACAAGGCATGATGGATCCATGTTCTCATTCTGTTTACGCCAAATTGTGACTCTACCATCTGAATGTCTCAACAGAAATCGAGACTCATCAGACCAGGCAACATTTTTCCAGTCTTCAACTGTCCAATTTTGGTGAGCTCTTGCAAATTGTAGCCTCTTTTTCCTATTTGTAGTGGAGATGAGTGGTACCCGGTGGGGTCTTCTGCTGTTGTAGCCCATCCGCCTCAAGGTTGTGCGTGTTGTGGCTTCACAAATGCTTTGCTGCATACCTCGGTTGTAACGAGTGGTTACAAATCAAAGTTGCTCTTCTATCAGCTTGAATCAGTCGGCCCATTCTCCTCTGACCTCTAGCATCAACAAGGCATTTTCGCCCACAGGACTGCCGCATACTGGATGTTTTTCCCTTTTCACACCATTCTTTGTAAACCCTAGAAATGGTTGTGCGTGAAAATCCCAGAAACTGAGCAGATTGTGAAATACTCAGACCGGCCCGTCTGGCACCAACAACCATGCCACGCTCAAAATTGCTTTATTCACCTTTCTTTCCCATTCTGACATTCAGTTTGGAATTCAGGAGATTGTCTTGACCAGGACCACACCCCTAAATGCATTGAAACAACTGCCATGTGATTGGTTGATTAGATAATTGCATTAATGAGAAATTGAACAGGTGTTCCTAATAATCCTTTAGGTGAGTGTATATATATATATATATATTAGGGCTGTCAGTTAAACGCGTTATTAACGGCGTTAACGCAAACCCATTTTAACGGCGTTAATTTTTTTATCGCGCGATTAACGGTCTTTTTGGCCTAGCAAACTTTGTAGTTTTTTTTCACATGCTTTTGCAACAGGACGTGGCATGCGCGGCGCTGCACTATGAAACCCATTCATTTCAATGGCTTGCGCTGCGCGAGGATGTTTTGTTGCTTCGTCGACCAAAGCGCAAGCGGATCTAGCTAGACTGGAAACAAAACAACAGGCACGCCGCACACACTTGTTTGGGCTTGCGATCCGGCCAAATAGTTGGTTAACGTTACGTTTTGAGTGGATGATGAGCGCGAGACGCCGAAATGGATGCCAATAAGATTCTGAATGGAGAGTTTACTTTTAAAAAGTTGCCAAATGGTTCCATTGACAAGACCAAAGTGATCTGTGTGTTTTGTCGTTGTGAACTGAGCTATCGTCATCGCAGCACGTCCAGTCTGAAATACCACTTGATGGCCAAGCACACACACAGCTGATGCGAATTCTCCACCCCCTCGTCAATATCAGAACCTCGTCAGTATTTCTGTCACCCTTTTATTGATGGACAGTGTTACATTGTGTGAGAGATTATTTGCTCCAAGTGAGAATGTTAGTGTGAAATTGAACACAGTATATGCCAATGTTGTTTTCAATAAAAAAAACATTTGCACAAAGCAAGCCAATCCACTTTTCCATGTTGATAAGAGCATTAAAATGAGAAAAAAAATAATGGGACAAAAAGAAATCAAGAGACATTTAGAATAGATAAAAATGTGTGATTAATTGCGATTAATCGCGAGTTAACTATGACATTAATGCAATTAATCACAATTAAATATTTTAATCGTTTGACAGCACTAATATATATATATATATATATATATATATATATATATATATAATATTGTCATGTGGTTGAAGAGCGAACCCAAACGCAGACGATATGCAGACTAACAGGGATTTAATTAAGGCACAAAACAGAAAACAAAAACCCACGAGGGGGCAAAACAGGACAGATGGGGCAGTACAACTAGACTAAGACAGGAAATAAACTAGGACTAGATACTGACTGATAAAGACAAGATGAAGAAAACAAACAGCTACATAAACTCACAATTCTTAATACAATATTCAGACTAAGTACTCACAGGACTCTCACAAAGAGTAACACGCACAGGTTGACAATGTACCGACACAGGACAGCAAACACAAGGGGATTAAATAGGGAGACACTAATGACAAAGACAGGTGAAGCTGACTAGACAAGGACAGGTGAAACTGACTAGAAAATAATGACGAGATGAGGATAACAAGGGGGCGGGGTCACGTAACGGAGACAACACAAGCACATGGCCCAAGCAATTGGCCATGCGCTTGTACACAAAACACGGGTCTGTCATGATCCAGCCTCAAGACCAGAGGAAATCAAGGACAAGAAGGCCGGATCATGACATAATATGATATTATTAAGATATTTTTAATTTAAATGACTATTATTATCATAATCAGATAGGCTTTAGATCTTTGCAACAAAAACATAAGAGACAAGCATTATTTCTGCCATCTGCAGCCCGAAAAAAACATTGCCTGTCCTTTGGTTTGTGTAATAGTAACTTATACAACTACATTTGGATTATTAGACAATGTCGAAATAAAGTGACTCTGCAGAGTTTTGCATTCAAATGCATGTAAAGTGAACCATTGACACAGAGAAGAAAGAGTTAAAACTCTTCACGTGTGCTCCCGCTCATGACCGCTACTGAACATCTGAACACAAACAACGATCAAATGCATATCGACGGATCTTCTTCTGTCTGTTCTCCAAAATGTAATCAGATGTAGCCTATAGGCCTATTTCTGCAAGCATGTTTAACCCTCTGGGTACCAAGAACGCGCCCGCGCGTTTTGCTGTTTTTTTTTCACATAGCAGCAACATAGACTTAAAATACTCCGTCATTTATGGTCATATAAATAAAATCAATACATGATGATAAACTATAGAGGGTCTTCTTTTTTTGTGTACACTCATATTAACATCAAAACCTTGTGTTTTTAAAAAAAATAAAAAAAATAAACAGGGTGCGCTTTCAGCTTACTCTGTCTCCGCAAAAATCTTTCTGAAACATGTCTGGAAAATGAACGGTAACTCCACTAATACTTATCACACAAACATGAAACATACGTCTAAAGAACGCTTTAAATTTCTACTTTTAAATAAAATAATTCACATTTAAAACAAATATTCTCCTGCAATGTAATCTGTCTGAAACTAAAGAGAAGTACAGTTTCTCCTGTCTCAGCTCATTATCGTTAATTTGTTCACACCCACTCGCAGAGCGCGCTATTCATAAGATAATGTGTTGCGGCCATTTGCAAAATAGATAAATGCCCCCAGGCAAATGCTGTAAACACACTATATTTTTTAGTCAGATTAAGATTCGTCTTGCGCGGCTATGAGGAATAATCCTGGGACATTTACCACAGAACAAGTGCTGGTTTCACTTCGAGGAGGACCAACAGATTCAGCTGAGAAGTGTAAGTGTTTTATGCTTGTGCTTTGTTCTAATCGCGATATAGAATAACGTTAGTGTCTGTAAACGGACAAAAAATAGCATACTGTTTAAATGTGAATCATGTTTCTCTCTGTGTGTGTGTGTATGAATGAATGAATGAACGCACAGATACGCACTGTTACAGATGAAATAAAAGACAAAATTTCGTTGACTAGTTTTGGATAAAGTTTTTCAAATCAAATAAGCATCAAATAAGCTTCAAATAAGCTTCAAAATAAAGACATCAGCTTTTGTTAGGAGTTTCTGGGGATAGAAGTGTCCAGACGTATGCACCCTGTATTTTAAAGAAGAACATTTAAATATTTGCGATACATTATTCATTCACAAATTATTCAGGGACATTATTCACGTCCCTAAAGGTTGGAGTTTTCCTCATTTTTTTAATTAAGGCATTAAGATTTTTTATTCCTCTTTTTAGTCAACTTTAGCATGGGTGTGTTCACTTCTAATTCTAAGCAGTGTGTGTGTGTGTGTATGTGTATAAAATTAAAAAGCTATTTTAACCAGAAAAATCTACAATGCATGCCCAAAGTCGTGCAGCCATATAGTTTCTCTTGATATCAGCATGCAGGTGTTTATTTATTTTTTTACAGGGACGAAATGCCATGAGTCCTGCTGACTTCAACATTCACAGGAGACTATAATGAAAAATCAAACACCTTGGAAATGACAGGTATGTACTATGTTTCAGGAATGGGACCATGCTGTGTGACTGTGCAAGCCTCTGTCTTTAGATCAGTGTGTTTACTAATGTGCTTTTTTGTCATTTGTTGTGTATCTTTGGATTATGGTGTGTTGTAAATAAATCCAAACAATCTAAAAGCCATTCTTTTTTAAATCTCCTCATTCTTTGTGCAAGGGTCCTCGTAATGGTATGGCCTGATAGCACCTAATAGGGCCATTATGGGAGGGTCTTTGTCTTTCTCAGGTGTGAAATGCCATACATATTAATGAGAGATCACGCCTCCTCGCATAAAGCTTTCTCAAACAAAACACGTAATTAAAAATGTAAAATACTTTATTGACTTATCTGAATGAGTAGTCAGGATGATTCTCACATAGTTTTGGAGCAAATATTCTAGACTATGTGATACAATTTTCAAAAGTCTTGTGAAGAAATAATCAATATGTGTTTTGTGGCCTTATTTCAGAAACTTTTATTTTTAAGTTTTTCAATAACCATGCATAAATAATATTCTCTCAAAAATACAAACATGTACATACATGTTGCTCACATATTATGGTAGCCCCGTTTGTGCTATATAGAGTGGATTTACACCTTTGCCATTAACATGTTTATAAATAACTGAAAAAAGCACAAATGTCAGTGCATGTCAAAACATCCCAAGGGCCCCAAAAACCCCTTGGTCCCCAGAGGGTTAAACTGGTTAACTGTGTCTAAGGCAGGCAAAGGCATTTTTCAAGTCGAGTTCACACGCCACGCAATACACACACACATTACCGCGGGATGGCGGGTGTTCATTTCATAAACTGTGGACAATGGTTGCTTATTTAATGTAGCCAATAAATTAATGTATATGTCCAAAAAACGGATAATGTCATACTTTGTAGTAGTGCTAGGGCGTAATAATCTGTTTGGTTGTAAAATTTATTAGGCCTACCTGAATGAAATGAAATCGGATGTTCTTCCTGTTACGACTCCGAGTCGAGTGTGAATTGAAAGCGCTTCAGACGATTCAGTGCGTGCAGGAAACTGAACAGATCATTCAAACTGATCTGCGAACCGATATAGACAGATCTGCCAACTTGTTTTATGAAGTCTGAACAGAATCGACTCAAAAGAGTGACTCATTTGTGAATTGAGCATCGCTCATGCTCATAAAAAAGATACAGTACGCTTGGAATAAACTACGCATTAACAACAGTATTACATTAAAATAAAGTAACGAGAGGAACGTCGCCCTCAACGTATTGAAGTAAAAGTACATTTTTTTCATTAGAAATGTACTCGAGTTAAAGTAAAAGTAGCATATCCACATTTAAATCTACTCTTAAAAGTACAATTTTTCCAAAAAAATACTCAAGTAGCCTAAATGTAAAGAAGTAAATGTACTTCGTTACTACCCACCTCTGAAAATAATACAAATAAAAAGTGCTTCAGTAACTGCTTGAATGTTAAATATCAGCAGTAGCCTATAAACAATACAATACAATTGTAAAAACTCTGTCCCAAGAGGGGACAACTGGCATTATGTGCATGTAATAGCGTGCTAATCTTGATCATTTCAAGAGATTCATGACACTGAAATATGACAGCTGACTGAGAGTTTAGGCTATTACTCAAAATGCTGTGCATTTGATAAACAGGCATGACTGCAATACTAACAACAACAACAACAACAACAACAGTGACTAATAAATGATCTGAGTCACCAAGCCATTGTTTTAAATAATATCAACATACTGAGAGCAACTTAAAGACGCTCAAATCCTGTTCGACATATTACAATTCAAATATGTTCTGATTGGCTTTGATCTTGTGACCTTACACATATTTTTGCTTCTGGCATGGACAAACACACCTCTTTAATGTACCCTATTTTCTGTCATCCAGGCCTGATTATTAGTCAACAGTCTTTCAAAAAAAAAAACTTTCCTCTGAAATATCTGAATGCGCTTGACTACTGTTGGTTGAGTCTGTGTTAGATCTCTATAAAAAAGGTTCCTTTATGTGTTAGGAACCTCTGATCCCTTGAGCTTCTGTGTATTTTTGAAACAGCGACACTGTCAAAGGCCTCATCTGATACAAAAGCAGTTTTTAGAAGTCAGGGTGCCTTAAAGCCTAAATGTGTTCTCAGTTGACACATACAGGTAAACATAAAATCATTGCATTCAACACAAAATTCATGAGATAAAACAAAGCATTTGTTAAAGGTGAAATCTCTTTTCCAACATTTCAACATATAGCAACCCTACCTTAACGTTTGACCAAGGAGGTCTTGCAATTCCTGGAGAAAGCTATTCGTTAGCATTCCCATTCAGACACGACTACTTTTGAATGGTCATCAATGAAAATAAAATGTGTTACAGCATGACAAATCAGGTACCAAGATAACAAGCCAACCTTGCATGCGACTCTCAGGGGTGCTATTCAACACCTAAAGGATCAGAATTGCACCTACCTTAACACCACGAACTCTGAACTCGGTTAATGCTCTGTGCATTTTGGTTGCGGCGGAGGGGAGGTCTTTGCCACTGGCTATGACTTTAACCAGCAGTGAGTCATAGTGAGGGGAGATGATGGCCCCCGGAAATGCAGACGCACTGTCTAGACGAATACCCATACCCTCTCCACTGCGAAACACCTGTTGAATGATGGGAGAGAAAGAGAGATGTTATGAGTGCAAGTAAAACAATACAGTTACAGAGCACAGTGTTGACACATGGACTACGGAAAGCATTTTGAATAGGTCAGGCCGGAAATGAAATAATAGCAACACCTTCCAGTCTAGTTTTTGCAAATACATTAATAACTAAGCACATTTTAGTTAGAATTCTACTTTTTTTTTTCATAAAAGTGGGCATGACCGCATTATATTTATAGAATTTTGTGCTGATATGACATCATTAGGCAATGAATAAATAAATAACAAGTATATGTGACAAAGTAAATTTCACAAAAATGACAGAATTCTGTTTTGCTATATTATTAATGTAATTTTAGCAGATACAATCTAAAAGAAAAAATACACTACCATAAAAAAGTATGATGTTGGTAATTTTTTTAAGATTGTGAAAGGAGTCTCTTAGGCTGGTGAGAATATGCTGTATTTATTTGATCAACAATACAGTAAAAACATTAATATTATTACAATTCAAAATAACTGATTTTAATATATTTTAAAATGTAATTTATTCCTGTGATGGCAAATCTGAATTTTCAGCAACCATAACTCCATTCAGCAGTGTCACATATTAAAATTATTGATATATTTTTCTTCAGGATTCTTTGATGAACAGAAAGTTCAAAATAACAGCATTTGTTTATTTACTCACTTCTTATCAATTTAATGTGTCCTTGCTGAACAAAAAAAAACTCTGACCCGAAACTTTTAAACGGTAATGTATATTCTACCGTCTGGTTTACTATGGAGGAAGACAATTCCATCAGATGTAAATAAATCAAGCGTATCGTCAGTTCTGGCAGGTCACGTTAGTCAAGCTCGCATCAGTTGACTCTAAGCTGATACACGTCTACCTATAGGAATACGACGCCTATCACTGTATTCATATATAATCTCCGTCAATTATATATAAGCTCCTATTTATGTTGTACATTAAAATTAATTAATGCTATCTGCAATACATGTTGGTTCTATTCTGTATACCCTAAGGGAAGTTATTGCTGCTCTCCCTGCTCTTATCCATGCTAGGCTGCATGGATGCGCAAGGAGTTCTTGCCCAGAACAGAACCATACCGCCAATCCAAACTGTTGGAAAATCAACCATACCGCCAATCCAAACTGTTGGTATATTTGACGACAGTGGTCCTGACATAACTTATTTCACCTTTAGTTAATCAGAAACATGAGTGCTGAATTTCTTGTATTCACAATAGTTTCATTCTTTTTTGTTTTTAATCGGTTGGTGGAAAATGCTTTTAATAAAGCAAAGCCAAAACAAAAATAACTGTATTTTTGTAATAATATTTGTAAATTAGTTGGTGGAAAAATATTATATATATATATATATATATATATATATATATATATTTAATTCTGTTTGTAATAAATGCAGTCTATAACATTTAGGTATGTTTTATTTAAAAAATACCCAAAACAATTGGAATTTTCTCTTCATTTCTCTTCACAGGTAACTGTCATAATCAAGCTGGTCTGGTGGTGAGCAGGATTTGTTTCCCCTCACATTAAACCACACCCTCAGTATATGACACATGTTTGACTCCTTGCCTTACTGATCAGTGAGATTTGCCACTTCCAGTCGTGGGAGGAGTTGATATGAAACCGTCAGGGTGGACACTTACTGCTTCCTAGAGTGATGCTCACACTGTGTTTACTTTCTTTATTGAAGACTAAGAGGATTAGATTTAATATGTGTCAAATAAACAGACGTTTGAATTTTACATGTAGCAACTAGAAAGACTGTTCAGTGAAAAGATAACGTGCTGTTTAACAGTGCTTGTATGTACAAGAAAGTTTAATATTAGCTTATATTATTTAAATACCAATACAATGCGGTCTGTATTTTTGTCAGTTTTATTTCTATAAACATGATACAACATAACATTAATATTACATGATTAATGTTATTTTGTATCATGTTTCAGTCTGTATTATGTTGTCATCATTGAGTCTGGCCAATCGTGAAATGGGCTCTACGGCCTTACCACACAACCGGACATAAACCGCCTCAGCTTCAATTAAAGAAACACTTTAATAAAGCTTTAATGTTTTCATTCTTAATTTCATTCTTAATCAGTGTGCCTGCATTATTTATGCAGTAATCAGCCTGCTGTGGCACATACTAGTACAAAATAATCGTATTACATAACCAACTATGCCAGTTCTTGCTGAGGTCATTCTCTCCTCATATAAAGTGCTCTTATCAGACAAACATTTGTGAACACAAACTGGAATAAAAAATTTAAACAAACTTTCACAAAAAATTAAATGTCACAGAATCCAGGAATGGTTATTAAAACACTGCTTTTACTTTAATGTAATGCTGAACTGGTGCTGAACAGACACGTCTGAATTGTATTTTTTGTTAGTTATTTGTATCACTTGTTTTGACTGTAACCTAGCTGAAAAATAAGCAGTAAATCAATAATGTTGATTTTTAGTTCACTTTTAAAATAACAACAAGCTTGAATGTATGAAAGTATTCAATTATGTCTAAACCTAAAATTACAAATTATCACCAGCGATTAAGAAACTCTGTTTAACGATGTTTATTTCTTTTGACACAGTTAGCACTTACAGTATCTAATTTGTCATTGGACTATTTCACTCAGTTCTGTGTAATTATTCAACACTGGTAAGAACGTCTGGAAGAGCACCAGCGCAGGTGTCTTGGTTGAAACGCACACATTTACTGTCTAAATGGGGACATATACTTCTATTGTTTTTATATGGAGCTAGTTATAAACACCTAACCCTAACATAAAACTTTCTGCATTTTTACAAAAAAAAAAGTTTAAGTACGTTTTTATATGGTTTACACAAACGAGGACATGCCCCAAAGGACGTTTTGGGAGATTTTGTCAGGTTTTCAAATAATTCAGATAAAAAAATTGTTCCCAAAATATGTTTCAGTAGGTACAAACTGTCATGGGTGGTTGAAAATCAAGTTGAAACAGGATTTAATTGCAGCAATCTTCAGTTTACTTTAACAAAACTCAGGGTACTAAGGATACAGAACAGATCAACCATCAAGACGCAACATTAACAGACAACTGAAGAACCAAACACAGGGCTTAAATACACAGGGCAAACAAATGAGCTAATGAGATAATTAACTAGACACACCTGGACAGAATGCTCAATCAAGTAACCAAGGAAACAAACAGGCAGGGAACATAGGAGAACAGAACCAATTAACAAACTAACAGCAAAACACTCGAACAGAACAGGAAAGCTAAATCAAACAGAATACAAACACCACAAAAGAGTTATTATTGATTATCATTGATGGGACGTTTCACAAAAATAAAGCCAGTTTCAGTCTTTTTAAGGCAAAAATTTATTGCAACAACAAGCACTATTATTCTGAACACTAATGCATACGTGTCCAATTTTGCTTCTGGATGACCATCGTACAGGGTTCAGGTATGTCTAAAGGTAGGGTAGGAATTTTTTTCATGAACACTTTTTGTTTTACTGGTTGAAACTCTCTTCACATCCTGATAGCAATCAATGATTTCCATTACACAAGAGTAGATGTTAAAACTTCATGCTGATTTGTACTCGGCTTTCGCCAAGATAAGCACAAACTAAGACGTAGCTTTACAGTAACCTATGCTTCTCCATCCATTTACGCTTCCTTCCATATGGTGATGTGAATAATATAAGTGGTCTAAATATTAAAACATGAACATACAGTATATCTTCTGTGGAAGTATCAGGACCAAAAAATGTTCCTCCAATCATTGCATTCAGTCCGATAACAATTAACAAACTTAATAGTGATAAAACTGAAGTTCCTCTTCAGTTGGTCAGTCGACGCCACGTCGAGACCGATGAATAGGAGCCTGGTTAGCGCTCCCCAGAACGTCTCACTGGCTCATTCGGACCATCAGGCTCGGCTATGCGATTCAGTTCGACCGGCGTCCCCCCAAATTTCGGGCTATCCACTCCAATACAGTGAGAGCAGCTGATGCCCATGTCTTGCGGGTGGAGATCGCAGTCCAACTGGCGAAGGACGCGATAGAGCCAGTCCCTCCGGCCGACATGAGGTCAGGGTAGTACAGTCCCTACTTCATTGTACCCAAGAAAAGCAGTGGGTTACGACCGATCTTGGACCTGCGAGTTTTGAATCGGAGTCTCCACAAACTACCATTCAAAATGCTCACGCAGAGACGCATTTTCGAATGCATCTGTCCCCGAGATTGGTTTGCAGCGATCGACCTGAAGGACATGTACTTTCATGTCTCGATTCTTCCTTGACACAGGCCGTTTCTGCGCTTTGAGTTCGAGGGTCGAGCATATCAGTACAAGGTCCTGCCCTTCGGGCTGTCCCTGTCTCCCCGTGTCTTCACGAAAGTCACGAAGGGGGCCCTTGTTCCCCTGAGAAAACAGGGCGTTCGCATCCACATCGCAAACACAGGGACCTCGTGCTCAGGCACCTCAGCTAGTTGGGTCTTCAGGTCAACTGGGAAAAGAGCAAACTCGCCCTCGTGCATAGGATCTATTTTCTCGGTATGGAGTTGGATTTGGTCACACAGACAGCGTGCCTCACAGAGGAACGGCCGAGTCCCGAGATGGGCGTGGCATCACAGCACTCACCGGTGTGCCGCCAGACCTTCAGGCCGTGGTCAGACCCCTCATTCCTGCAGGCACGAGTGCCCTTGGAACAGGTGTCCAGGCATGCTGTGGTGTTCATAGATGCCTCTGCCACCGGCTGGGTTGCCATGTACAACTGGCATGCAGTGTCAGGGGTGTTGACGGGCCCCCAACTGCATTGGCACATCAACTGCCTCAAGTTGCTAGCAGTACGTCTCGCTCTGAGCCGCTAAAGGGCAGGGACGTGCAGGTCCGTACGGACAACACTGCGACTGTTGTGTACATCAACTGACAACGTGGTCTACGCTCCCGTCGCATGTCGCAACTCACCCGCCATCTCCTCT